ACACCCATATCTCTGTCACATGGCTGTGCCCTGTAGAGGTGCCCTGGTGAGTTGGGTCGCAGGGACAAGGCTGGCTCTGGGGTACAGGGAACGTGCAATTCCAGTGAGCACGGGTAGGCCATTCCTCGTCCAGAAACAAGACCATCCTGGGAGAAGCTGGATGGGTCTCTGGAAAGGAAACCCTGACCGCAGTGCGCGTGCTTTGAGTGACAGACCCCGTGGCTTTCTCCCACGCGGAGTTGTGGGGCGATGCTGATAGTTCAGGGTTGGTAGGAGGCTGAGGAAATGATACAACCACAATGCGAAAACTGAAACAGATTCTCCATCATCATAAAAACAGCATAAAAATAAATTGAGTGTGGCTGGACCATCCTCAACAGGGTGGCAGTTTACCTTGGTGGGACCCCTGGGAGTGGGGGCACCAAGTCATACAACCTCAGGGGGCAGAATGCATCCGACCTTGGCAGGAGCGATGCCTACCCTGCCCTCAGGGGTGTGGAAGGAACAGCCTGATGCCAGGACATGGGCACGCTGCAGGGGACATGCAGAGCAGGTCAAGTCCACAGGCGGGGTCATGAGCCCGACTGCACCAGGGCCGGTCGGGCTGGCCTGACATGTTGGTGCCCTTTAGTTCTGGTCAGCGATGGAATGAGGTCGACGGTTTCTTTGCTGACATGGGAGTCCATCTCCTCAGTCTAGTTAAAATGCAGAAAGCACGATTTACTTCACTGCTAGACAGCAGTGACCGGGCTGTCAGTTTCAGCCACAGCACATGGCAGAGCAAGGAGAACTTGACCTACGTTCAGATCTAGGGCAGTGCATTTTGTTTGTTGTGTATCTGTTTTGCTCTGTGAAGAATAGGCCATTAAATACACGCACACTGCAGCTCTTCAGAGGCATTTTAAATCGCCATTCACAAAAGTTAGCCCGACAGAGGAAGAGGAAGAGAACACAGGTGCTTTATTTGAAGGCTCTCACTTTCCAGATGAGGACTGTGACGTCGAGAGAGCCACATGAGTCATCGGAAGTCACCCCGCAGGTGGGCAGGCTGACCCCTGCTCTGGTCCCCGGGCCGTGACCGATTCTGTAGCTGTGAGTTACCTCTCTCAGACCTCTCCTCTCTACTGTGAACTCTCAACTGTTGTCAGACATGTGGAAGGAGGTGTCAGCCACAGCGACATCTGGCTTAACATGGACAACGTTCACTGAGATTAACCAAAGGGGGACCTGCTCAGAGCGCGGCGGCATACGGCACACACGGCCGAGCTTAGCCCTGCCATCCCAGAGAGCAGCGTTCCCCAGGGAAGGCAAAGGAGAGGCCGTCGCTGTTACAGATGTGTCCACAGGGTGGACAAAATATTAAAAAGAGGCAAACGCATGAGGGGAAAATGCAGAGTAAAGCCACAATGAGACACACTATACATCTATCACAATGGCCCAAAAGAAAACAAAACAAAAGCAATGACAACAGCCAATGCTGGCGAGGATGTGGAGAGACTGGCTCTCTTACAGGGCCAGTGAACGTGTACAAGGCACAACCATGGCTTGGCGGTTTCTCATAAAACTAAATGTGCAAACACCACGTGACTCAGCACTTGCATCCCAGGACATTTGTGCCAGGGAAGCGAAGGCCGACATTCACCCAGCAAGCTGCCCATCGACGTTCACAGCGGCTTTATTTGTAACAGACGCAAACTGGAAACAGCCCAGATGTCCTTCACGAGGAACATGGCTAAAATCGCAGGGGCTCACCCACAGCCAGGAGCACGACTCGGCAATGAACGGGAACAAGCCACTGAGGCGACCACCGAAACGAATCTCCAGGGAATTAGGCAGAGTGAAAAAAGCCTGACATCCCAAAAGGTGACACAGTGCACAAGATTACATTTTCCAATTGGCAAAATTTCCAAAAGGAAGCGGAAAGGAGTGGTTGCCAGGGATTGGGGCTGGAGGTGGAGAGGGAGGGAGTTATAAACGGGCGACAAGGGGGACGCTTGTGGGACGGAAATGCTGTGTCTTGACGGCCATGTGGGTTCAGGAACACATGCCATGCCAAGTACCAGTCCAACGGGGGAGTCTGGGTAATACCCATGATTCGTGACATCAGTGTCATTTCCCTGGTGAAGGTTTGGTGCTACAATCTTGCAAAATGTTACCACCGAAAGACCCTGGGTAAAATGTACACACTCTCTCGCTGTGCTATTTCCCACAACCCCTGCCTAGGAATCTACAATTATCTCCATAAAAATGCCAATAAGAAAGAAGGGGGAAAAAAAAAAAGAGGTAAACAGAAATTTCTTTTAGAAATCGCACGTGATCAGAGAGCCTGATGACCACTGTGGGTGGTTACAGAAATTAAAAAACCCAGGGGCTGGAAAATTAACCAGCAGCTCTCACAGGGAGACGATCAAGGCGCAAGTTCAATATTTAATAGGTCAGAAGAAAAGGCAAAGTTCTTTTCAAGCTGAAATATGGGAAACGCCAACAAATACCTTTCAAATCACAGCACAGAGCTGAGAATTACTTTGGCTGATAAACACGTGTGGTTAAAATGAGATGGCAAACTGGTGGCAAACAGCACCTCCCTGGCTTTGACGGAGGCTGAGGGGGGCTCAGGGTCAGGCTGGTTTCTCTCCAGGGAGCAGAGCCCTGCGTTGGCATTAGGAAATCACCGAATCTCCGGGTCCGTTTCTGAGTGACTATTTGTAGCACAGAAGGGGCAGCACGTGTACTTTGGGGGAGAGCCCCATGGTTGCCAAGCGACACCACCGTTCCCCCTGGACAGGAATCAGGCACGTCACACAAGGTGAGAGCGTCCCGCCCCATACTCACTTATTCTGCATCATGTTCATTATCACCCAGTCGAAAGGGTAGACGTTCTTCCCGATGAGATTCTTAAACATGATGAATGTTTCCATCAGGAAATCCTGAAAGAAAAACCAAAACATTGAAGCGGCCCGCCAAAAGCAAGATGGAACCCATGCCCTCCCCCGGGATGGCTGCATTACGAATGCCCTCCTGATGGGCAGCTGACTGAAAACACTCTGAAACGTCCTGAGGATGTGTTCCCAGGAGCTGTGCGTCACTACTTCTGCCTTCCTGTTTGCCTGAATTCCTCCTCTCTGGGAGAACTGTTCCAAATGTCCCTTCAGAAACAGTCGCTGGGCATGTCTTCTAATCTTCATAAGGAATTAAGTCCCCAAGATAACAGCTACACATTCATACTCTTTCTGCTATAGAAAACCGTAGCTTTACAAACATAACATGCAGGTCATTATTATTAATATTTCTTATATTTACTCGAAATCCATTTCTCGTTATGAACAGAGCCCACCCAGCTGAATATGGGATCTTATTGTCCATTCCTTTTCCTTATGTAACTTAACAAGCAGAAGGCTCAAAGAGGAACCAGACCATCTGCACATGCTCAGCTCGCCATAAACCGTCCGAGCATGTGGTCGCATTGCCCAGCTCCCTGGATGGTACCTACATCCCCATAACTACTCAGTGACGCCTCTGCCGTCCTGCTGATGGTCCTCTGAACTTCACTCCCACTCTGCCGCCCCCCCCCCGGCTTCCACACCGATGAGACTGCGCCTGGCATCGGGAAGGGGTAACCATTGCCTCGGGGCTCCACCCCCTGCCTGTCAGAATTAGGAGAACTTCTTGAGTCTGACAGCTTGGCGGTTGTTCTGAGCTGACCTGAACAAAACAAGCGGTTATCCTGAAGAGCACACATCCTGGTCATCTGCACGCGTCCTCTGATCTGGAGTGTCAGGGCCGGGGGGAGGCAACCGAGGACTCACTTAGAAAAGTGAGGCCATGGGCCGAGACTGCCGCCGGAGTGGGTGTTTCTCATCTATTTAATCTACCGAATCATAATTAGGTGCAGTGGCTGTGAAGCCCGAGGTGCTGAGCAGAATATAAGCAGCCAAGAAAGCAATTCCCAGCACAAAGTTCTAAACAAGTGCTTCTTGCAAAGAGGCACACGTTGAACTTGATAGCAACAATAAGCTGAGGTTCAAAGGTGAGATACTTTCTCTGCAGCCTTAATTGCAATGCCAGGCCCCCTACCATGAATGAAAACTCAGGGAGCAGTCATGATCGCCCTTTCTATAATAGAGACCCCAGCCCCGGAGACCTTGGCAACCCAGGCAAACTCAGGAGCGAAAAGTCAGCCCCATGTCCTCCAAACTCTGCTCACACAAGCTCCGGCCAGCAGGTCTTGAGTGGGAGTGATCTAGGCGCCCCCTGACACAATAAATGGCTTCTCTCCCTCGTTTACTTGTTGAAATTCATATTTCACTACTCGAGTTTCCCCACTTTGTCAAGAGTTTCACATTTTAATGATCAGGTTGGCGGCTGAGTGCAGTAATTGAGTCACATCTCTATTTGCATAAAATTGCTGGCTTTCTCGCTGATCACTCCTCAAAGCCTAATAATTGAGATATAGGGTCTGTGTTTATTATTCTGGGAGAGAAGCATATTTCCCCAACTCCTTTTTTTCTTCTTTCCAGGAAACACAGCCCCACACTTCATTAGCATGGCTCAGCTGTTAAATTTGGGTACTTTGCTGATCAAACGAAACGCTGCATATTGTGGGAAACGCGGTTTGCAAGGCTTCCTTGTCGGTCTGCATAACTGACTAGCCGAGGCGGTAGTCCCCACCGCTGCTCTTGCCAGAACAGCTGATGTAGCTTAACAGACCAGCACACTGGTATTTCCAAGTCAACAAGGGGAGATGGGAGGCTAATACAGAGTGTTTTGTGAAAATTTCATTTTCTGATGCCAAGCCATTCCTGTTGCCTTTCTTCGGTTGATTATCGACAGCATTTCCCATAGACTAAGTGGAGAGCTCCAACAATGGATATCGATGTATTCCATGGGAAAAGTCTTCTTGTCATAAACCCATCTGCTTCTGTCCATCCCTACCCTCACCCACTTGAATAAATGGTCATCCTCTCTCACCTGAACTACCCATCTACTGATATCCACTCTTGTCCCTCGTGGTCCCTACACATCACCCAGAGTGATCATTTCAAATTGCAAGCCCAGTCAAGGCACCCACACTTCTCCAGCCTCCCACTTAACCCACGTCTCCAGTGGTTCCCCAGTGTTCTTAGATTAAAGGCAAACTGTCTTGACTCTCAGAAGTGGGAAATCCCCACTCTGCTTTGTCAAAGAAATAACTGTTTCAGACAAAAACCCTCAACAGATGCTAAACTCATCAGATGGAGGATTGTTGGGGTAGAATAATTGCTAACATTCTGTGGGTGCCTAAGTATCGCTCAAAGATGACATGACAATTGCAAAGCTGCATGTATCTTCACAACGGGGAGATCTGACAGTCACCCCCCTTTTAACCAAGCGATCAAACATATCATCATCATCATCATCATCATCATCATTATCATCGGCACTCTCAGCTGCCCAGTGGACCCAACAGGGAGTGCTTCCCACCAACTCTGAAGCGCTCTTGTGAAAGGATGAACTTGAATTTTAGAGAAAGCTTCCAGGTTGCAGGGCACACAGAGGGATGAAGAAACAAAAGGGAAGACAGTACAAGGCAGCACTCAGCAATTCAAGAATGGCGATAGGCTGCAAGATGATTGGCGTGTTGTCTTCAAAAAATTAAAAAAGCAATGTCTTGAAAGGAAGAAAGAAGTAGGTGATGGATTTGTTCCAGAAAAAAAGGAATCAGGGGCAAAAAAAAAAAAAGAAAAGAAAATGCATTAGGTGAACGTGGACTGGATTCTGAATTGAGGACACCCCTCAAGGACGACAAGGAGGATGGGGGAGAAAGGAAGTCTGAATCTGTCTGGGATGAGGGGTGGTTGTGATGCTCTGGAAGAGCGACGCGGCCACTGGAGACTGTCTTCATTCTTGGGGGATGTTTGTTGGACCATTCAGGGGAGAAGGCATGTCTGACATACTTGCAGGGTTTGGTGTCTGGATACAGAGAGATACACAGAGGAGGCAAACCTGGTGAAGTGAGTGCTTGCGACCAACGAGTTCAGGTGAGAAGAACAATCGTGTTCATTGTACGAGTCCCTCAGCTTTTCTCTATTTTGGCAATATTTCATGATAAATAGGGGAAAGAATACAAGAAAAACTGGGAGAGCTGGATCGAGACTGATGGACTGTATCAATGCCAACGCCGCAGTTTTGATATCAAAAGTGTAGACACTCATTGTACTATAGACGATGCCATTGGGAGACGCTGGGCCAAGGGCTCAGGGGACCTCTCCGTGTTATTTTTTGCAGCTGCATGTGACCTTCCATTGATCTCAAAATAGTTTACTCAAAAAATAAATGTTTTAAGGATGATTTTAAAACATTTAAGGGAAAATATCAAACCAAGGACGCAGAGAGTTGAGAACAAAGAAGCAAAGCACACAGAGCTTCTCAGCACCCGCCGTGGGCGCCTGCGCGGTGTGATGTTGCAGCCCCTCTCAAGGCTCATCTCAGCCCCGTGCACTCGCTGCTCCCCCACCTGCTTCGTTCTTCCTCCGATTCCTCAATATTCCACAATTCTCTCCTTTAGAGCAGGCTTCCTGGCCGCCTGACTCATCGCTCTGGCTGTGTACAGGGCACGCCGCTTTGCAGCGTGGATACCTGGGTTAGTTGGAAGGACTTCCTGCATCACTGTCCCGTTCACCACTAGACTGTTGGGCAGGAGAGCGGGACCTGGCGGCCTGCCCTCTGTCACTTCCTCCCCGGTGCGAACACAGCGTCAGGGTCCAATAAGCAGCTACTGAGCAAACTCACTGTAAACGGACTCGGCACCGCCCAGACTCACCATCCAGCCTAGAGAGCCTTCATTAAAGCTTCATTTACAAGGAAATGGTTACGGAATAAAGAAACAGATGTTCAGCCAAAAGCTCCTCCTCCCACTCAGGACGCTCCGCACGGGCTTGCGAACACCCGTTGGTGGCTGTTTCACATGGAACTCAAGGCTCTCTAAGACCAGGAATGCAACAGCGGAAGGCCTCCCGGGCAAGGACAGTCACCTGCCCACCGTCCTTGCTTTCCTAATTCCCACAAGCATTCTCACTCACCATTTCTGAGGCAGGAAATGTCACTCTGGACCAGCTCAGTACAGGCTGATGATCGACTGGGATGGCTAAGTTCAAAAGGATGGGGGAGGGGGTGTGTCCACCTGGCGCGACCAGGGCAGGTGTTGGGTAAGGGTTCTCGGAAGTGGTGGGACTGAAATTGAAGGAAGGCAGGTGGGCATTTCAGATCGAGGGACCTGAGAGCCCAGAAGCCTGCCTGACTCGGCTCCCTAGGCACCCCACAAGAGGAGAGAACTGGGGGAGGCCACAGGGAGAGGTGGAGCTGCACAGGAGCACATGGCCCACCGTGAGTCCACATGGGAGGTGACAGGGACGGCAGCACCCAGGTTCCATCAACCAACCACCGTCCTTTATCCTATAGTCACTCAACATTTAACCAGCAAGAATGACTTCTGCCTACATTGTCCTGTGTACATCACTGTTCATTCACTCAGTCACTCAACAGACATTTCATAAGGGCCACTTAGTGGGAATCTGGGACAAGTGGCAAGACAGCACAGTCCCCTGGAAGGTCCAGAGGACTCCTCATCACCTCCGATCTCACTGTGGAGGTTCTGTGCACGTTCTCTGCTCTGTTCCTGACTCTGACATGGGGACATGTGTGAGCTGGCATCCCGCCCCACGGATGTGCATCTCCACAGCAGAAGAAGAGTTTAAAGGGCCTGCACTCTTCACCATCCTGAAAGGATGGTCTCTATGGTGAGAGTTTGGATTGAACATGTCCATTCTTTTTCTTTTCTGGATCAGTCCTGCGTGGTGCTGTGCTCCATCTTCTCAGTGCCTTGGGGTCCAGGGGGTGATTTGAGAAATAAAAGTAACAGCTCTGTGGCATGTGACTTTGGTGTCGAAGATAACCACAATTTTGTATGGCAATGACTCACCCAACCAAAAACAGGGCTGAATTTGACAACTTGAAGTAGCACTTGTTACAAGAAAGTACTCTTGAAAAAACTGGGCTCGGTTGTTTTCATGTTGGAATATTAACTAACTTCCAACTATTTAACACAAAATGACCTTTTATTTTTGTGACAGGCAATCAAAGTAGAAAAATAATCAGATACTCTCTATGTATAGTTAACGGAAGGGAATACATTTTACAAAGGGTCTAACAATAATAAAAAAAAAGGTTTACAATCCTTGCACTGTGAATTTGTGATATCCAAATCACAAATGCCATTTTACATCGGAAGTCAAATCGCCTGCAAATAATTGATATTCTGAACTGCTGTGTCTCAGGCAAAACATTGCTTGGGAAGTGAGGACCACAAACTATAGTAAGAACCAGCTTATCTGCTCTGCGCAAGGAGAGTGCACACGCTGGACTTCGGCAAACGACAGGTGCCCCTACACACCATTCTGTGGGCTCACTCTGCACAACACCCCGAAGCTTCCCCGCCAACAGCACCACGTCCTGGCTCACATGAAATATTTTTAACACGGCGTGTGTGTGGGTTTCGATCATGTGACTGTTCTGATGAAGGGTGAATTATTCACTGGAGTCCTAAGTTCTCAGGCTGGGTGAGGCTTGTCATTCTGCAAACGTCATTATTCAACCTGGAATGCCAGGTAGAAACTGTTCACAGAGGGGCAGCCACAACTGTCCTCCCACTGACCGCAACAGGGCTGAGGGATCCTGTTAAAATTAAATGGTGGCAATGTCAACTACAATATGCATGTGTATGTGTATATATTGAGTTGTTGGAAAAGTCATAATGCATTTTTGCAACGAAAAACAGAAAAAAATATGTCATGACTTTTCCAACAATCCAATATATAAATGTGTATTGTATGTGTATATAAATATTTGTGTGTGTATATATATATATATGGTAACAGGATGTGAAATACAGCATAGGGAACAGAGTCAATGGTATTGGAATGGCTATGTATGGTAGCAGAGGGGTAGTAGGCTTTTAGGGTAATCACTTTGTGAGGGTGTAAATGTCAAATCACTATGTTGTTTTGTACACCTAACACTATAAATTAATTAATTAATTTAAAAAGATTCAATGGTGGCATTAAATGGTACACATATCAAATATGATTCCACGATGCCGCAATGGCTATGGCTAAAAGATGACAGGACACAACGTGATATATATTACATACATGAGTATACCGCTACACGAAACAGCTCATTAATATTAAAAAAATATCTAGACACATAAATATATACACATTCTTGTTCCTTGACTTTTATTTAAGAAAACTTTCTGTGATTTTAAGGTATGGACCCATTTTTGTTTTCCTTAGAAATTTAAATATAAATACACGCACACCTACATGGCGTCGCTTATATTTTAATTAGAAATAATCTTTTGGAAAAAAATCTTAAACTGCATTCTCTTCTTCCCATCCCTTAATAAGATAGATGGAAAGTGCAACCAACCTTGTTCTGAAAACACTCTTCTGTATTCTATAGGAATCTAGGGGCCTCAGAAATGGGGTCTGTGCCACCAGACACATTTCGGGTCAACATCTAATCAGAAACTGCCAACAAAGTTGGCTGCAGCTTGCGGAGGACATCTGCCATGTCCATGTGATGTGGGGTTCTTAGGGAGGCAGCTCGGAAGCGATCAATCCCCCCGCTGTTAGGTTTTCCTATTTAAGCTAGATCATAGTTTCACTGAGGGTGACTAGAGACTTATCTGGAGAATCACTGATAAACATCCATGATTAGAGCTAATTAATAACAGAGTACAATTTAAGGCTGAAAAGGCTCAATAAATGAACAGGAGTTAATGGGAGACTAGCCATGGGTAACAGCTCCAAGTTTTCAATGAGCCCAAAGCACAGGGCAGGAAACTGTGACCAGAGCAGGGAAGAGATTTCTCTGAGTTTACACCGAAAGTCCCACCCCTGTTCAGCACCAGCAGCAAGTCTGCCCATCAGGACCCTTGCGTTAGACACATGGCTTCAGTTAGACCTTCCCAGGCAGCTTTTCAAATCAACTGGGGGCAAATCTCGATGCAAAATCCTACTTGCCATGAAAATATTCCCTCCAGTGTTTTGCCTAAAATGCTGGCCCCAAAACACAGGTGTGTGAAAAGTGACCAAGTGAAGCTTACCACAACGTCAGTCCTCATTTTCCCAAAAGTCTTGATCAAATGGGCATAATGATAATCTTCCATTTGTCGTAAAATAGCAGTCATGCAAGCCACGAAGTTGCCCTGTAAATGAATCAAAAGGTACAGTTAGACGGGAAAGAACGACACTCGTGGGAAAAGTTGAGATCAGCTAAGAGTCCGCGATGGAAACATGTCAGGGAGAAGCAGTGGGGTCAGGGGGGCCCCACGTTCTGTCACCCCTGGCTGGCCAGCATCAGGTGACCAGTCACTTCCAGCCTCACAATCTATTTTTATTTTTTCCTTTCCTATATTTCCTTCTCTCTGATTGCACTGAACTGAATGCTTCCTGACACATGGGTGTCCAGGCTGGAAAAACAGCTTTAAATATTTCTGCATGAAATATGCAGACATTGAAGTCCAGTGAGCTCTCTGCCACTTACGTCTTAGGCTCACAGGAAACTCGCAGCCCTATTACCAGGCAAAATGTGGGTGCAGCTCTTCCTCTTGGGCCACGGCAAAGAGAGGCCTTTTATTTCTCAAAATTCTGCCTGCATCCCCCTTGGCTTTTGGGGACAATCGGCACGGACTCCACAATGAGTTATGGTCCAGTTCTCCTGCCCAAAAAGGATGTGAGGAGCAGCGCAGGCTCATCAGAATGTAAGATGGGCGAGACGGGATTTCTCAGAGCACACAGAGTCGGGAGGAAAGGAAAAGGAGAAAACAAAAAGCGAGAGTCAGAAAGTAAAAAGCCTAAGCAGTTAGCAGATGGAGGCGGCCACCACGTGGGTGGCTAGGTGTGCACGAGCGTGTGTGTGTGTGTGCAGCTCTGTGTGTGTGTGTGTGTGTGTGTGTGTGTGTGCGCGCGCGCGCGCGCGGTGGGTGGACAGTTGGCTAATGGCTCCATTACCCATGACCACAGCGTATTACTTCTGGTGTCCATGCCTAACGACATCTTAAAAGCTTCCCTTCCTCATAAACATTTTCCCCTATATTAATGACGTTTTAAAACACAGGACATATATTTTCTCCCATTAAATCAGTACAAGTCTGATAAAATTATAGGGTGAGACATACTTTCAGACATGTTCCTAATTTTTCCCTATTCAATGAGTTCCCAAATTGCATTCTTTTACTAACTCTACTTTCACAAGCAAAATATTTGAATGCCTAAATGTCTTTTGTATTAATTTGAAATGCATGCTCTGCAGTGAGATGTTAAAGTCCAATACCGTTCCAATTCATTTTATATCTATAGTATACATATATGCTTCCAAATGAGTCCTCAAAGGATGCATTACGTAAATTGAACAAATACAATCATGATAATATGGTATCTTCCATTTGCCTAGAAATGTAAATTATTTGTGAATAATGATAATTGCTGAGATTTAGATTCCAAGTTGGTGTTCAGGGAAAAAGCTAAATAATGCTTGTTTTCCATTGGAGGGATGATGTGTGACATAGCAAAATATCTATCTATCTATCTTTTTATGTGTGTGTTCATAAATTCATAAATATTTTTTTGAAATTCATAAATATTTGGCATCCGGTTGAGTTCAAGAGAAGCCACCTCTGCCTCTTCTTTACACTGCAAGATGCAATCTTCCGGGTCATGGTCTTCATAATATGACACTGACCAAGTTACAAGGTGTCAAGAGCTGTGCCGAGGCCATTAAAATCCTGGCCCCAGTTCAATCATGCCACAGTCTCTTCTGGTCCCATTTTATAGGCTGTGACACTGGGCTGAAAGGTGTTCGCCTCAGAATGCGTACATGGCAACACTGACGGTGAACCCAGCACCGCCGGCTACAAGGCAGCGCTTAGCAGCTATGCTCATTTGTTTCCCTCTTATCCAGATGCACATTTTAATTCTTTTTCTGAGAACTCGGAGGCCACTGTTGCTCACCAACATGAGGTAGATTCACTTTCCCGCATCCTGAAGTCTTAGAGAAAGCGGGAAGAGGAAAAGGAGAAGGTAATGGCCCCAAAGGCGATGCCCCACCTTCCACCCTGACGGAGCCGGCTGTGACCCAGGTGCCTTCTCCACCAGACAGGAGCTTTCGTGAGGAAGAAGAAGCCTGCATCAGCCAAGGTGCCCCTCACAGGGGCTCACATTCATTTTCTGCAGGTCACAAGTGGTAAACAATGGCAACTTGCACGTTAGAATCACCTAAACCACAAAGCCAGTTATGTCTACTCAGAAGCAATATACCGATGTGCTTCACTTGAAATATCAAGTTCAAAGCAGGACAGCAGGACGCCAGAGAGGACTTGAAGATGCTGGGGGCATGAGCACGGAGCACAGTGCATCAGGAGTCTGGCCAGATACTCGAGCAGGTGACACGAACACACTCCAGGTAGGGAGCATGCCATGCAACGCCGAAAACGCATGCAACACAAAGGCGGGGGAACTGACACGATGCAGCAAAGGAAAAACTAAAGATAATGGAGAAATTTCCGTTAAGCAAGTCCCAGGAAGACGTCACTGGCCTGTCGGGAAGTCTTCTCTAGGGATGAGAGCATCACAGAGGAGGTGACCTGGTGGCCTCTGATTTAACAGGAGAGAGGCTAACTGGCGCCGCCCTGGAGGCAGGGACAGAAGCAGGCCACCACCCGGAGTTAGAGGTCAAAAGGCCAGGTGGGGCGATGTGCTCTTTACTTAACCTAAGGAGTGTTCCGAAGGTAATCTGTCCTGTTCAGCAGTTCCCTACTTAGAGGAAGAAATCCTGCAATCCCAGCTCTTCTCTAAGCTGGAGCTCTGGACCCCGCTAGCAAAGGGGCAGTACGGCTGTTGAATTCACGGAACCGCACCGCCGTTTCCTTCGGAATGGTGTTGCATTCATGGTGAACCAGTAGTTTTAGGGGAAGCATCGCGGATACCATGAAGCCTACTGCTCACATGAACCTATGGAACCTTGAGAGAGGATGCGTGGGCTTTCTAGGGCAGTTAACACATGGGTCTTTATGGAAACTGTATCTGAAACCAGTTTTACTCTGGAAACAGAAATGGGGATAACGGCGAAAATGAGACTTTTATTCTGCAGGCTCAGAAGAAAATTACTATTGTATGCTTTTTAAATGATGTATTTGAAATGCATTTAGAAGCCGTGTGAAGCTTTTATTTTAAACCATGGGTAGGCAGGCAGCGGGGCCGGTGGTGGCTGTGCAGAATTCCTCCTGGAATCTGAGCCTGGGGACCAGGTCCCAGCCCCAGTGGCTCAGTAAACATGAGCAAGTAAATAAAAATAGGACATATTCCGTCTGACTTCAAAGCAGTGCAAACCAGGGACAGAGAAGGCAGGATACGGTTGCAGAAAATTTAAAATTCAGGACATAGAATGCCTAATAAACCAAAATTGTGAACTTCATTAGTAATCAAAGATGAAAACGATACATCATTATTTGCTTGCCAAAATAGCAAAGAAGTATTTAAGTGATGATAATGTTAGCAAGTGTGCGGGGGGTGAGAACCCTTATACGCTGCTGGTGGGAGAAGAAATTGCTATAACCTTTTCAAAAAGTGATTTAGCAGTAGGTTTGGAAAGTCTTGGGAAAAAAATACTCATCTCCTCGGTAATTCCACTTGTAATAATCCCCCTAAGGTAGTAATTCAAAATAGGCAGCATCCTGCCCAAAGCTGTCCATTGCATCACCGAAAACGTCTAAATGTCCAACAGCAAGAAACTGTGTTAAGTAAAAGGGTGTTTTGTAGGACTGCAAGATAAAATACTGGTTAGCAATTCAATTTGCATCTCAGATAAACAGAGAAAAACAAGTATGTCCCAAATATTGAATTGGAGATATTGCATGGGACATCCATATACTAAAAATTTTTGTGTTGTTTATCTGCAGTTCAAATTGAACTAGGTATCCTATATTTTCATTTGAGAAATCAGGCAACCATACCACAGCGCACTGATGAAATGTTACGCAGACATTAAAACACTACACATTAGCCATGCAAATATAAAATATTTTAGTAACAGGAGAAAATGCTGGAAAAACAAAACTGGAGATAATTATATATACATATTTTATCGATATAAAACACATAGCACAGGAAAAAAATTAAAGATTAAAAAAAAAAGAAGAGCAGATAGTCATCAGAGGTGGCAGAATGAGCCCAGATTACTTTTATAAACCCAAAATATATTAATGTTTTTAAAGGTAGTCCTGAGACAAAAAGATCTCACCTGGCAACGGGAACCAGCTCTCCCTGTCCCCGAGTCTCACATTTCTTACTCCCTCATCCTCAAAAGCATCCTTCACAGGGCTCCCCTGTCTGTGTGGACCTGGTTACTGCTTTGCACCGCTCCTCAAGCCCGGCGCTCTCCTAGGGCTACCCTCAATGTTTTCCATCTGTCTGGGCCCCCAGAGCACTAGGCAGATGGACAGGTAGAACAGAGGACAGGTAGAATGTTGGACAGGTAGAACTGAGAAAGAACTGGTGGGGAATTGGCACATTTCGTGGCATGCACATGTATATGAGGTGTCACTGAAGGATATGGAGACGAGGTTAAAGAAAGGCCAGGTTTTGGAGAACAGGAACTTAGGAGAAGACCTGGGCGCGAGGGCATGAATTAGAAGGAACCTCTCCAGGAGCTGGCTTCATAGTCATGAGGAGCTGTGACAGGGAGCCCAGTTACATAAGGAGGCGGACTTAGCCACGTGACCTGGGACAGGCTATGAGACTGCTCTCGGTAAAGCCATCAACCAGACACGAGTGTTTCACGGGACCCTGGAGCTCACACTTTGCTCAGAGCCCGGGTCTCTCTGGGACACAGGGCAGACATCTAACTCTTTGAAATGCTCTTAATGCCAAGGACGTGGGGGCAGCTCCTACCCCCAGAAGCAGCTGGAGTTGTGAACAGTGACCCAGGAGCCCTGAGCCTGGAAGGCAGGCACCACTTTGAGTAAAATAATTCCACTTGTTGAAACGGGGATTTGGCTCCATGACTGCCAGTGGGGTTTATTAGACATTTTTAACCACACTGTCATCAAGGCAAGTACTTTGAAGAGGAACTGTCATTTTATACGGTTAAACTTCAAACATATTGAAGAAAACAAGCCTACCTCATAATCATTATGAAAAAGTAAAGAAA